TAATTATTCTGCTCAAGCTCTTTCAAAAACTGTGAGAAGGAATACTTCCAATCATGTTTTATGAGGTCAACATTACTCTAATGCCAAAACCAAGCAAAGACAACACGAAGAAAGAAAACTATAGACTCATCTCCTTAATGGACACAGACACAAAAATCCTCTATAAAGTCTTAGTGAAAAGAATTGAAAAATACATTCAAAGGACTAACATCATAACCAAATGGGATTTATTCCAGGGACACAAGAATAGTTCAACATCTAAAAATCAGTCAAAATGAAATAAGCTTCAGAGATAACTTTTGGGATTTGACTCTAACAGCAAAGAAATCAAAGGAGAATATAAACAATTGGGACTACATCAAATTAAAAAGGTTCTGTACAGTGTACGAGACCATAACTTAAATGAAGAGACACCCATGTGAACGGGAGAAAATAGTTGTTCACCATACATCAGACAAGGGACTGATATCAAAGATCTGCAAATAACTCATACAACTGAACAAAAATCAAACCAAATAACCCAAATCAAAAATTGGCAGAATAGTTAAAAAGGCATTCTTCTAAAAAAGATATACACATGGCCATTAGGCACAGGAACAATCTTCATCATCACTTATCATCAGGGAAATGCAAATCAAAACTACAATGAGATACCACCTCACTATTGAGAAAAGCTCGTATTAAAAAGACAAGAAACAAGTGCTGGTGAGGGTGTGGAGGAAAAGAAACCCTCCTACACTGATGGTGGGATGTAAACTGGTCCAGCCCCAAAGTAAAGTAGCATGGAGTTTTATCAAAACACTGAAAATGGGTCTGCCATAAGACACAGCAATTCCATAGTAGGTTTCCACCCAAAGAATACAAAACACTAATTTGAAAAAATCCCTGTTTATTGCAGCTCTATTTACAAAAGCCAAGGTGTGAAAACAATCTTATTGTGCCAAAACAGATGAGTGGATCAAGAAGGTGTGGTATATATACACAATGGAATATTACTAAGCAATTAAAAAGATAAACTCACGCCATTTCAGCAACATGGTTGTAACTGGAGGGAATTTTGCTAAGCTAGATAAGCTAGAAGGAGAATGATAAATAATGGAAAGTATAACTTATATGTGGAAAATAGAAAAAGCAAGTAAAGGGTCAGACAAAGAAACTTTAAAACTAACTTGTGAGAGCTCAGCTAAGATCTGTGGCTTTCAGAGGGGTAAGGGTAAGGGGAGGGGTGAGAATGGGACAGGTGAGGGGGTGTGCACAATTGACTATGTTGGAGGACTATGGGTACTTTGGTAGTGGGAGTGCTATTGTGAATACACCTAAGGGGCAAGTCCTACATTTTCACCATTACTTGAAGAGATGTTCCTTTCTCTCTGGTGTATATTCTTGGCTCCTTTGTCATAGATTAACTGATAAGTGTGGGTTTATTTAGGGGTTGTGACACTGTTATCTAGTCTCATTGCACCCTTGTTCTACTATATGTATTCTTCACACAGCATGCAGAATAGTGTATAGTGTGAATCAAGACATTTCTCTAGTTAACAAAATTGTTCTGTCCTTACTTATTAGTCATCAATTCACCAATAAATAACATCTGAATGTCACACCAAGAATCAATAAATTACCTACAGGCCTGCCTTTGTTTTGAAAAACAGAATTTTATTAGAATATTCATTGGTTTGCACGTGTTCAATGGTTCATTTCCCACTACAAAGACAGAGTTGAGCAGTTCTGACAGATCTATGACCTACAAAGTCAAATATATATGCTATATGATCCTTGAACAAAAAGTTTATTAATCCCTGCTTTAGATCCATAGCCAACTACTTCTTAGAAATTGGGTGTCTCTGGATATCTTTCTGGAATTGTAAACCCAACCTGCCTCAAAATGAGCTTTTCTCTACCTTCCTAAAACTACACTTACATATGAAGGATGGCCCCATCCATCCAATCAAGTTAGAAATCTTGGCTTGAGACATATCCTTCTCCCACATCTTCCACTTTCAATCACTAAGTCCTGATGCTTTTGCCTCGCTGTTCCTCTTTACATTGCCCTCACTGGGACCACAAATATTTCTTTTTTTTTAAAGATTTATTTATGCATACAAGAGCTGGTGTGCAGGTCAGAAATGGGGGGTGGGGAGAGGATTCACCAGAGACAGAGTGGGGAGCAGAACAGGTAGATCTACTGAAATATACTGCTGAGGGGAGCAGAGGGAGAGACAGGAGAGGTCTGCTGCACCATGTGGGTAGCTCCCTGGACAGGGATAGAACTCATGCTGCAGTGGCTGTGGATAGTTTCACAGCGCTGAGTCTTAACCCCTTGTGCCAACAGGGAGGCCCAGGAACACAATTATTTCTTACTCAAACTATGGTAAAACACTATTTCTGTGATCTGTCCTTCACACTGCAGCTAAGATAATGCCTCCTGACCACAAGTTTGAACATTATACTACTTTACTTTCAAGCAATGATTTCTTAGTCTGCATGAATGATTTCAAGTATTCCAAACTCTTCAATTACTCAAAGTCTAGCCCTTTGAGGAATTTGCCCCTGTCTCCAATCACATCTCCTGCCATTCTTATTTCCATTTCATGTTCCAACAACACTAGATGGTTTTGGATTTTAAGCCCTTGAGTCATTGTTCACAATAGGCCATCTCCTTCAAATTTCCTTTCCCTATTTCCCTTTCTTACCATCTTAGTATTGATGCATGTTGTATTTCTCTACAAGCACCCCCTCCTTGGTAATCCTAATGTGTCAATTCCCATAATATCACTGCATCAAATAATTGGTCAGGCAGAAACTTCATGGTGATTAAGGACTTCAACTCTGAGCCAGGTTACTTAGATTTAAATCCTAGCTCTGCCACTAGCTAAACAGCCTTGGGCAAATGCCTGTCACACAGTGGCATATGTTTATGATCATCTTCACATTTCAAATGAAAAAAGACTATCAAAGAAGTTAAGTTGATTGAGGTAACAAATAATATGGCAGAGAATGTCAGTTGTTCTTCAATACTCATTCTCATCTTTTTTTAAATGTATTAAATAAAGTCTTAGCTGGGCACGTAGCTGTCCCCATATAAAAACTCTACTTACCTGCCTCTATGATAGCTAAAGGCAAACATGACATTAAATTCTCACAATAGCATATAAACTAAAGTGATATTGTGACTTCTAGGTTATAGCCTTAAGGAAAGGTTTGTATCCTCTACTTTCTTTTCTTTCATCCTTCTCAACGGAATAATGTAGAGGATAGTTAATCAGGCACATTAAGTAGCCCCTTAGGGATGGCAGAGAAATAAGATGGTAGGAAACTTCCCCTGTCAATCACCATATTATTCCTAGATCATCTCACTGGATTATTCCACAACCAAGAATTAAATGCCCCTGTGTTGGAATCACTGTATGTTTGTATATGGGGTCATAGCAGCCTAACCTGTAGATACAGGTGACCAGAAGAACTTGGATTTGAAAGGTGAATACTATCTCACATATTACCAGGCCCCTCCTCTGCAGAAAATTGTTTAATGAATAATACTTTGCTAGGATGGCATTAACTAATAGAAAGCTTAGAGCCAAATGTAAGTCCGTCAGTAGCAAGTATACAGCTTCATTCCTAGATTCATTTTCTGTATCTTTGTAGTTTCTTTTACATTTCACCTAATTATAATATATACTAATATTTTATATACTGTAAATAATATCACCTTAAATTCTTTCATAATTAATGAGATTGATTTAAATAAATAAGGTATTGCTTTTGCTCAGTTTTAATTTTATTTATAGTGACTGAAGCACAATTGTTTTACATCCTTGTAGTATTTTGACAGTATAGATATCCCCCCTCCACATCAGATGTAGTCACCATAGCATTCACACCACCGAGGCTACAACACTCCTCCACCAAATTCCATCGTGGTCTCCCCTGCTCTCCGTGTCTCACCCCTTCCATTCCCCCTCTAAAAACAACAGATCTATGGCCAGCTTTCCACGGGTTGACTTTAAAGTTTATTTTTGTCTGACCCTTTGTTTAGTTTTACTCTATTCCACATATAAGTGACACTATCCAATATTTAGCTTTCTCTTTCTTATGTCACTTAGCATAATCACGTTCAGCTCCATCCATGTTACTGCAAATGGCATGGGTTTATCTGAATAGTATTTCATTGTGCATAAATACTGCATTCTCTCTCTTGATCTGCTCGTTTGTTTTTGGGCACTTAGGTTGTTTCCATACCTTGGCGATTGTAAACAGTGCTGCTATAAATATAGTTGCACAGCTTTCCTTTTGAATTAATGTTTTTGTATTTTTTTTTGTAGAGGTATTTCTTTCTAAATGGTTTCACTTCACATATGCCACTTTTTTTTTTTTAAATAGAGTCATGTTTTTATTTATTTATTTATTTGTTTGTTTGTTTTGTTTTTATACATGCACTGGGTACAGTCAGAAGCGCAGGAGGGTGAGAGAATTCACCAGAGCCAGAGCGGGAAGCAGAGCAGGCAGAAGGACCGAAGTACACTGCTGAGGGGAGCAGCGGGTGGCAGGAGAGGTCTGTGCGCCATGTGGGACCCTCGCCAGGTGGCCGGGGAGTAGCCCGGGATCGAACCGGCGCCGCAGAGGCCATGGGCAGCTTCGCAACCCAGCGCTCAACCGCTGCGCCACTGGGGAGGCCCACATATGCCACTATTATACCTCTCATTTTCCTCTGTTTACATGGCTGTCTACATGTTATATCATATACTCCTTAAAGGCATAGAGTGATTTTTCTTCTATCCCTTCTAATGTGTGTCTGATAATAAAATAGTTAATTTTTCAAGCAATAAGTGCTAAATCAATGAATCTCACAGGGTTACAAATGCTATTAAATGTCATTGCATCATAATGGAATTTCTTTCCATTATCAACTTGAGCGAGGGTGGGAGATAGAATTCTAGAAGGTGGGTATGGGAAGCTGTCATATATTTGGAAGTGTGATGGTGAGCATAGGAAATACATACCTTAACAAAGTGCTCAATTAGGATTTCTACCACAATGTTCTGGAATTTGATGTTCATCATGGCAGCCACAGTATCCTCCTGAGCTCTCATCAGTGTGGGCCCAAATATCACACCCATGTTGGAGGGAGTCATTAGATTCTCTTTGCTGTGCTCACACACACTATCAGAAGAGAAAGAAAAAATATTAACAGGTTTTACTCCAAGACCCATTGTAACCAAAAATGTATTAGGTGCTCTAGGAGGTTAAAGGAACTAAAAAGTAGAAGGAAAGAAAAGGCCCAAATACATATAGGAAGAATAGTCCATAAAGGTAGCAAAGAATATAAAATAATATATATGTGTCAAAGTGAGACCATTAACTGGAGAACTTAAGAGAACAGGGATCGGGTTAGTAGAAAGTATTTGAGAAGACAAGAGAGAAGCAAAATATCATTCCACGGAAGAGAAACAGCATGTATAAAGCACATATAAAGAAGAACAAAGCACACGGAGAAAGTACCCACCAGTCTCAACAGTCAGGAATCTATCCCCTTCCTTATCCTAAGTTAAAGAAGCAGAACACTAGAAGAGCTAAGAGAGATCCTTATGATTAGTCCTTTATCACTGTCTTCATTTTCCAATGAAAAAAATGATTCAAAGAAGGAAAGGGATTTGTCTGAAGTGACGGCCTGATTTGGACCTGTAATCCTAAATTTTCTGATCTGTAGTCACTTAAATTTCCTTTAGTGACTTCAAATCACTTATAGAGCAGTTCCAAACTCACATTATTTTTTTAAAGATTTATTTATTTAAGCATACAAGATCTGGGGTGTAGGCCAGAGGTACAGAGAGCTGAGAGGATTCACCAGAGGCAGAGTGGGGAATAGAACAGGCAGACTGGCTGAAATACACTGCTGAGGGAAGCACAGGGTGAGACAGGAGAGGTCTGCTGAGCCATGTGGGTTAGCTCCATGAACAGGGATCAAACTCGTGCTACCGTGGCTGCAGACAGCTTCATAGTGCTGAGACTGAATCCCTTGCATTACCAGGGAGGCCCTACAAACTCTTTAAAATAACATTAAGGAGTCTCCCTGGTGGCACAAAGGGTTAAGAGGCAGCACTGTGAAGCTATCCACAGCCGCTGCAGCACAAGTTCGATCACTGGCTGGCCAGGGAGCTACCCACATGGCGCAGCAGACCTCCCCTGTTTCACCTGCTGCTACCGTCAGCAGTATGTTTCAGTCAGTCTGCATGTTCTGTTCCCCATTCTGTCTCTGGTGAATCCTCTCACCCCCCCAACTCTGGACTGTACCCCAGTTCTTGGATGCATAAATAAATAACAGTAAGGACTTGCTTAACTTGCTGCCTATTTCTAATCCAATGAACAACTTGGACTCTGAACCCGAACTGGTTTAATCCCAACCCTGCCACTTATTAGTCACATATTTCTGAGTGTTAGTGACCAAACTCCTCTGGACTTCGGTTTTCCCACTTGCAATTACAGTATCTATTTCAGAGAGTTCTTGAATAAATAGAACCAAATTGCTTTAGAAAGTCATCCTGAAAATATTCTAGTATTAGTATCTGCTCGTTTTTATTATCTTTCAAGGGCCATCCCCATCTAGTCCATAATGACCTCTAACACTTGATATAATGAAGTACTTAGATTAGGTTTTTTGGCTATCGCATGTTGTTTCAGACCTCCGTATATTTGTTTATGGCATTCCCACTGTTTAGAATGCCTCCATCCTTCTAAATCTAAAGATTATCTATCCTTTGAGATTCACTTTAGTTAACATGTTTTTAGGACTATCACAGCACACTATCCTCATCTTGATTGACACCATTGGGCAAGCAGAATATGTTGCAATTGTCTGTTCTTACCTGCCTCTTCAAGTGGTAAACAACGTCCAAGTGTGTGTGTGTGTGTGTGTGTGTGTGTGTGTGTTGCACACAGCAGGTACCAATTAATTATTTTTAATGAATCTGAGCAACTCCAGTGCTCTCTCAAATAGTACTGGAGGTAGAAAAATAAAAGTTGTGCAACCCTTTGGGCAATTTGGCTGTTATGGTGGGAATGTGAGTACATGGGACATCCCACCAAAAACAATCACTTTCCAAACCTGCCTAAGAGACTGAAGGCAACAAGAGGCAGGTTCTTATCACTAAGTGGTTAATAGACAGGGACTGAATCCTTAGACAAATCCTAGTGAAACCTGTTAAGTCCAACAAGGGCTGAGTGCAATTCAGATGGTAATGAACAGCAACCACTCAAAGGCCTTTGGCATTGCTGGACTGCTGATGAATCTCTTTAAACAGTTTAAATATGTCTGCAATTAACCATTATTCTTTCTTTTCTGAAGAACAGAAAACACTGATTCAAAAAGATATACGCAATCTTTTTCTTTAGTTACATTATTTTTTTAGATGTTGAAATGGAAAAGCAACTCAATGCTGCCACCAAGTGATGCATTAGTGACTAGGCAATTATCTCCTATTGTGAGCTTTGAAAGGAATTGATTGGTTGAATGTGCCACTAACTTACATATTCCTCACAAGTCCAGAAGGTAGAGTTATTTTATTTCTGAACCCTAGGTTCACTGCGGTAAAGTACTTATTCAAAGTCACAAGTTTATGAATGCATGACAATAAAGGGATTTAAGCCCATATCTGTTGGACTCTAATTCTTACAATCATCCCATGTTATCCTTCTGTCTGCTTGTGTAGTTCCTCTCAACCAATGAAAGCCCCTGTGACTCCTTTAAATTAAAGCCTTCTATGAGAAAGCATTCTGGTATCCTATTTACACTTTTCCTTCTTGGCCCTTACACGAGATTTGAAAGGTAACCTATTCTTCAACCACGACATGTCTCCTTATATATTTTGAAAACCATTAAGAGGCATAAAATCACAAAAATTATGAGTTAATAATATCAATTTAATAAAAAAAAATAATGGTTTTATGAGGAGTAAATTAGGTATGAGTTTGTGTTATAATTTGACAGGAAATGAATCTTATATCCTCTAATTTACAGAGACAAGAGAAAATGGGCAAAACTTCTCAATTCAAAATTTAAATAAAAGGAATGGTAGTTTATTAAAAACCTCCAGTGAAGGAAAAAAGTTTTGATCAGATGATTTAGATCACAAGTAATAAATTAAATTATCTATAAAAAGAGAACTACTGTTGTATAATCCAGCAATCTCAATTCTGGATATATATCCCAATGAAATGAAATTACTATTTCAAATAGACATATTCATTGAAGCATCATTCACTACAGCCAAGCTACAGAAACAATCTAAGTGTCTTTGACGATAAACAAATATATATACACACACACACAATGGGATATTATTAATCAACCTTTAATTTGAAGGAAATCCTGTCCTTTGCAACACCATGTATGAACTTGGAGAACATTATGCTTAGTGAAATAAGCCAGGCACAGAAAGAAAAATACTGCATGATCTCACTTACTTGTAGGGTAAATAATGTGTCAGGCTTTTCCACCCTCCCGCCATTGTAAAGTGTCAGGCTTTTCTGCCCTCCTGCCATTAGGATAGATGATGGATCCCTATGGTCCTCAATGCATGCCTGATGGCAGGCACCTGGAATAGGGTGTGGGCATATGTCAGTGGGTACACCTGGGCTGAGAGACTGGGCTTATAAGGGCAGCATCACAGGGATGCCAGGAGAGTGAAAGAGATTAGAAGGAGAACGAGCAAGAGCAGCCCCAGCAGAGAAGCAGAGGCCATGAGCGAAATCGGGAGAACCCAGAAAGAGTGAAGATTCTCTGGGGCCTGGAAGTCCTGCCAGCCTCCTGGCCCCCCAACACCCCTGCTTGCCAGGTACCTGGTAAATTCAACAAAACCCTGAAAAGCTATCAAGAGCTCCAAGACTTCTCCTTTAACCAGTCTGCATAGAATCATAGAAAACCTGCACTGTGCCCAACCTGCCACTACACATGTGGAATCTAAAATAGTCAAACTCAGAAGTAGAAAGTAGAACGGTGGTTTCAAGAGACTGGGGAAATGGGTAATGGTGAAATGTTAGTTGAAAGGTACAGTTAAGTAGAATTCTTTCTGGATATCTAATTAATAGCCATGTACTGCACACTTTGTAGGGTAAGTGATTATCAGACTTTTCTGCCCTCCCACCATTAGCATTGATGATGGATCCCTGCGGTCCTGAATGCATGCCTGATGGTGGGCACCTGGAGTGGGGTGTGGGCCTATGTAGGTGGCTACACCTGGGCTGAGACTGGACTTTTAAGGGAAGTGTCACAGGGATGCAACCACCGGAAGAGAGAGAAAGAAAGTGAAATACAAGCAGAAGAGAGGACGAGACCACGAGAGAAAGCCGGAGAGCCCAGGAAGAGTGAAGATTTGGGGTGGCTGGGAAGCCTGCCAGCCTCGAGGCCCCGTGCCTGCCGTGTCCCTGGTAAAATACCAATGAAAGCCTGCAAAAGCTACCGAGGGCTCCAGGACTCCTTCACCCCTCTGCACAGGATCATAGAGATCCTGCTCTGTGCCCCTCCTGCCCCTACAACTTGAAATTGGTAAGAGTGATGTTGATCTTGAGTATTCTCACCCTGAAAAGAGGGAAGGCAGGAGGGAGGGAGGAAGAAAATACATTGCTATATACCTCAAATATACACAATCTGTATTTAACAATGATAGCTAGAAAATACGGAGAAATAAAAAAAATGAAAAGTTTATTAAAACTACTTCTATTCCTAATGTGCTATATGACTTCGGATCTTTTTTTCTAATATCAGGTATCTGTTCCACATCTATAAAATGAGGTTATCCAAAGGGACTTCTAGCTCTGCTAGTCAATGAATCTAAGTCCTTCTGTTGGAAATAATGGGGAAAAAGATAGCCACACAGAATCATCTATTAAAAATGCTTGCTTTCCCCACTCTGCACACAAATAAAACAAAATCCCAAAAATCAAGTTAGAAAAAGAAATAGAATGAGAACAAACCTTTTGATCCAACTACAGAAACTTTAAGGGACAAATTAACTATTTTCTTTACAAGAAATTTATAATCAAATTATAAGAAAAAGTAGAGATGAAGGGAAACCTAAGAATTGAAAACATGGTAAAAACAGACAGAGCCTATCTATATCATATAAACACTTGACCTCTATGTCCTTTATTAGTCCTACAGGTGA